AATTTAGAACAGCCCCCATATGTTTATACATATATACATATATGTACATGCATACATATATATATATATACATACATACATAGAGTAAAGATAGGGTTAGGGCTTAGGCTTAGGACTTAGCATTTAGGATTTAGCATCTAGGGACGAATTGCAAATATGGCGGTCCCTGATTCCTGATTGTGGTTTTGGGGTGCCTCAAAGAGACCTCAAAGCCTAAACCCTATGGTGCACTTGGAGGGTCAGGAGGACTTAATAACTAGGTCATTAATGGGGATAATTTTGGGTTACTATATGGGCTATAGGGGTTATTAACCTACTTACTAAGTTCCCCTGACCCTCCAAGTAGCAAGTCAGGACGAGGTTGATGTTACTTATTGTTTGGATCTCCATGTACGCCCCAGGAACCAGAACCTTGGACATTTAGGGTTTGGGGTTTAGGGTTTAGGGTCGGGGGTGATGTCCACCTGCACTAGGGCCTGAGAAACCATCAGTGTTATTCCCTATCACCCTTATATACTTGTCGTACTACAGAAACCCGAAACTCTATTCGCCGGAAACTAGGCCTTCACACACTATACCACCACACGCAGTATATCCCCAGCCCACAAATTCTAAACTCGTCCTAAACCCTAAAGCCTGAAGCCTAAACCCCAATCCTTAAAGCCTTTGAAGGCCGAAAGTATTCTCAGTGTCTTGCCCCCAAGAACAGGATGTCTGCCTAAGGCCCTAAACCCTAAGCCCTAGACCATAAGCCGTAAACCCAAGCCCGAGGCCCCAAGCCCTAAACCCCAAATAAGGCTGTCCGCCTAGGTTGACTGGCTGCCAAGGGCTGACCGGAGGGAGCAGCCCCTAAGCTCAAAGATTTACACAGGTATAGGAACTACGGATAGGGTGTAGGGTTTAGGGTTTATGGCTTAGGGTTTAGGCTTTAGGTTATAAGGCGAAGAGAAATGGGGTTCTGTTTGCAATGCCAGCTGGGCTTTTGCACTCTAGGTTTAAATACTTGGCGAGTTCGCCGAAACTAGGCGTCCCCTTGAAAGGGGTTATGGGGGTTCTGTAGGGGTTGTATAGGGTTTAGGGTTTGCCAAAACTAATTAGGGGGGTCCCCACAACAAGGATTATAGTATTTTGGTGTCTATATTGGGGTCCCCCTATTTCGGGAAACTGCCAGATAGGGCTTAGGGTTGAGGGTATAGGTCTAAGGGAAATACGGCTCCGGGTTTCGGGTTTAGGGCTTGGGGTCTGGGACTTAGCGTTTAAGGCTTAGGATTTGGGGTTCAGGGTCTCGGGCTTATGCAGAGTAAACGGTTCTTTGAAGCCATCACATTTCCTTTTGGAAGCTTCATAAATATGGCCTTCATTTACCCCGAATATTCCATCAGTTCCAAGGGGTGCCACGAATCAATCCTCCTAAAGCTCCTAGACAGAGAGGCTTCTATGTAGTCCTGTTTTGGGTTCGTTGTTAGGATGAGGCGGTTTAGGGTTTGGGGGTTTAGGATGTGGAGTGTAAAGAGGGTTTAGGGCAGCTGTAATAACTTAGTAACAAAGGCTTTGGGAAAGCTTTTGATGCTCAGGAAATACGTGTGCCTAGATAAGAATGCATCGAGTTACGGGGAACAGTCTTTCACAAGAAAGTATGGGTAAAGAGGAGATGATGTTCTTGGGGTCCGCGGCTATCCGTTTCCAAGCCCTACACCCCAGGCCCCCTAAATTCTTCTAAACCCCATCCTCCCCCAAACTCATATGGACCCCCCCAAAGAGCCCCATAAACACCACGTTATAGGGGTGAGGGTAACTGAGATTCCTCTTATTATCTTCAGGCTCCTTTGCCGGAACCTTGTAACACGGGGGGTTGGGAAAGCTCTTCACGGTTTAGCGTTCCGTGTTTAGGGTATGTAGGCTCTATAGTTTAAGACCATGTAACATATTATAGTCTCTTGTAGCTCCAAGGTTTCGTGATATGTACCTACCGAGGGTAGAGCAAAGTATCCTTCAAAGGTCCCATTCTGCACATTTCTAAGACATCTGACAAGCCCCAAACCCGCCTCTCCACGCCCTCAAGCGACCCCCTTAAGCCCTGAGCCGCGAAGCTGAAATTTTTTAGAAGCTCTCATAGAACCCCTTTGAGGGGTTAGATAGGGATTGTAAAGATGTACAGGGTCCTGTCGAACTCTTCCAAATTCACATGCAACTCAACATAGCCCTCCTTCTAAAGGGACAGCCCGAGGCCACCAAGGAGAATATATATATATATATACATGTATATATATATATGTATATATATGTGTATATGCACATATTCATGTGTAAGCAATCATTCCCCAGTGAGGAACCAGCCAAAGTCTAGGTAAGATCCAGGCCCCAAGGCCCCAGATGCATAGCTTTATAAGCATCAGCACCATCACCACCTGGGTAAAATCCATAGACCCTAGACTTTAAACCCTAAAGGCCCAATATCCAAAAGCCTTACACCCTAAGCTCTACAACACACTGACGCTCCTAAACTCTCAAGCCCTAAAGCCCTAAAGCCTCAAGAACACATTACCTCTCCTATACCCTGAAGACCTAAACCCCTAAACCCCTAAACCCTAAACCCTAAATCCTAAATCCTAAACCCCTAAACCCCTAAACCCCTAAACTCTAAACCCTTCAAGGACACACTACCTCTCCTGGACCTGGATGTACAGATTAGAAGAGTTGAGGAGCGCCCTTGAGATGTTTGAAAGCACCATCATCGCACCTTTTCTTCATTCAGATGTGCTTTAGGGTTTAGGGGTTTAGGGTTTAGGGGTTTAGGCTTTAGGGTTTAGGATTTAGGGTTTAGGGTTTAGGATTTAGGATTTACGGTTTGGGGTTTAGGATTTAGGGTTTAGGGTTTAGGAATTAGGATTTAGGGTTTAGGGATTAGGATTTAGGGTTTAGGGTCTAAAGTCCTTGAAGGGGGTTATATAGGCGATCA